AACAGTGTTACAAGCTCTTTGCCCTCATTGGGGATATAAAAAATGTGATCTTTTCTTATTCCAGAAGTGTCATCCTTTTAATGTCAGTTAATACTAAGAAAAAAAGTAAAACAACAAGTGTTTTTCTTCAACAAATAAACCACAAGATGGTCAATAACAGAAAATCAACATGAGAATGGATTGTGTTTTCTTACACACAAAAAATTGCATGACAGAATTTAAATACTAAATATATTACATTAGTAATTAAAACTAGAGATTTTAAAACTTAAGGTGCAATCCTTAAAACCATCATCTTGCTACTTTGGGGTATATTTCCACTCCTTTAACAAAGGTCAGAAACTGTTTCTTAAAAGGAGTGTTTTCATAGGATACGTCATTTTTTTTTAAACTTATAATTTCATAAGAAAGCTAACTCCTTCTACTTTTCTCCTCAAATACAAGAGTTAGAAACATTCTGCCTTAATTATTTCTTCTGTTGTATCCCTTGCTAGCAAATTCTTTGGACTAGATTTGGGAAATTAATTACTTTTATAAATGGAGTTACTGTTTTACCTAAACACTTCATGTATAATACCCTCCCGTAAGGAGGATTTTTATAATTCCCTACCAAAATGCCTTGGCACGGTTTCATTTCTCAGTTGGCAGTGTATTTCCTGGACTGGAAGGGAAGAGCAGGCAACCTCGTTAGTCCTTTTGGAAGGAGGGCGGGTAGCTTTACCCTGGGGTACAGACGTCTTCATGGCAGCTCAGCCTTGGATGTGTGATGGGAAATTCAGCTTGGACAGAAAAGGGGGAGTCTGTGAGGAGGCAATAAACACGCCTTGAGTTCGAGGTTGCAAACCAGTGGTCGACAGATGTGTGTTGCTGGCCTCCCACAATGTTTAGAACATTTTTAATTAGTTTCCAAGACTTAAAAAAAAAAAAAAGTGAGACTTCAGATAAAAATACAGAATTGCTTCTGTTGAAAAATCAGACAGACAGGGCTCACTCCTGGCCGGGCTGCGTGCCGCTGTAGCTGACGAGCTGCTGCCCCCTTTAGACAGGGTGTGCACTCGCCTTTGGGCTCAGCGCAATCGCTTGTTTTAGCCACCTGGCCACAGAGTGGATGTGTTTGGAAAACCTGCTCTGGGTGACACATGATTGTGAAAGACTTGGCCACTGAGAGCACGGAGACCCAGGAAGAAGACATGACCTTCGGGTTAAAGTAAAGCTTAGAAATGGGAAGGTATTGGAATGATATATGGCAACTGGACGTACCTCATTGTTTCTCTTAGTCCCCTAGCATGAGGAAAGGTCACATTGTGTCAAAGTGACAATTTGAATTTAAAAAATGGAAACAATGTTTTTGTGGTATATTTTCCACTGAGAAAGTCATTGCCTTGATTCAAATGAATATGACTGGAAGTCGACTAACAGGACCTAGATTATGTAAGAAGAAGGAATTCCCTGAAGGGCTATAGAATAACAATGATGATGATGATGGTGGTAACAATGTCTTGACATTACTGAGCACTGACTATGTGCTGGACATTGTTGTAAGTGCTTTATCTGAACTAGGTCATTGTATTATATTTGTTACCTCACCTTATTTTTCTTCTTGCAGCTGCCGTTAACCCTCTGAAACCCAGGCGCGAGGTGAGTGCAGTCATTGGTTGTACCTCAGGGTGCCACTAACCTTTGGCCGTCATTGGCCCCCAAAGTGCCCAGATGTTCGTTCTTTCCTGCCTGCCCCTGACTATGCTCCCAGGTTGTCCTCTCTTAGGCCACTTCCTGTCACCGTCTGTGTCTTTTCCTACTGGCTTCAGATTTCTCAGCTCAGCGAGAAAACGCTCCCTTTCTGGGGCAGAGGAGAGAGAAACAGCCAAGAATTGAGGCAACAGATGTGGTAGGAAGAGAAAGAGAAATAAGATCGATAGCACGGAGTACAGAGAAATGGAGATAGAAACAGCCACCACCCACCCTCTCCTCACGGGTCAACGTCAAAACCCACAACAACCCAGTGAGCAGAGCAGCTCAGTAGGGAGGCTGCAGGTGTGTGTACGATGGGCTGTGTGTGCCGATTGCTGGGCGTGTGAAGCAGACCAGCTCCCGCGCTGTTACCGTCCGGGGGGGTCCAGGCACGTCGATGGGGGAAAGTTAAAATAAAATGTGTACTCTCACTCACCCGGTGTGGCTCAGTGGTTGAGCACCGACCCTGCACCAAGAGGTGGCCGGTTCGATTCCCAATCAGGGCACATGCCCAGGTTGTGGGTCCAAATCCCCAGTGGGGGGCATGCAGGAGGCGGCCAATTGATGTTCTCTCTCACCGATGTTTCTATCGCTCTCTCTCTCCCTTCCTCTCTCTCTCTAAAATCAATAAAGGGGAAAAAAGATCTTTAAAAAAAAGTGTACTCTCACATAATGTTTGCAAAAATTTTAATAAGATGGCCCAATACCGTACTCAATGAAGAAAGAGCAAAAAATAAAATTAGATAGAAAGACATATTGAGGAGTTAAAATATCGTTTTAATTTTTTTTCTAAAAATGTTTTTATTGTTTTTTTGTTTTGTTTTTTTTTAGGGAGAGAGAGATAGAAACAGTGATGTGAGAGAGAAACATTGATTGGCCGCCTCCTGCATGCCCCCCACCAGGGATCAAGCCCAAAACCTGGGCATGTGCCCTGACCAGGAATCGAAATGGGACCTCTCAGTCCATGGGAGGACGCTCAATCCACTGAGCCACACTGGCCAGGCTCGTTTTAGATTTTTAATTGATTGAACTGTTACATAGATACGGTATTTAAAAGGCTAGAAGAAAATACGGCAAAATACTAGTGGTTCTGGATTTCCAAAAAAAATAAAATAAAAAGAAACCAAAACAATAGAAATGGACTTTCAAATTTTTTTCTAGTGATTGTAAAGTACTTATATAATCAAAAGAAGGTAAGATAGTTAAGAATGGGGTGGGAGGGGGTGGTCACTAAAAATCAAACTGAGATGCACTTACTGAGTTTTAGTTCCACGAGAGAGGAACTAACAGCTACAGATGTTACCATCTCCGGATCTCAAAACCTTTCCTACGGTCTCAAGGGGCCTGGGCGAGAGGGGACGGACGGGTGGCTGAGCAGAACCTACGCCCGGTGCTGGAAAAGTAACTCAAAAGTCCGCGTCGGACTGATGCTGCAGCTGGGGTCAGAGAAGGACGTCTTGGAGCATTTTCTCGTGCCGCAGCTCTTGCAGCCTGCCCTTCCCCCACTTCCTTTGAGGAACCGGTGTGTGATCCAGAACACCTGAGAAGGTGCAAAGGTCGGCTTGGGCCGTGATCACCAAGTACCACGGACGGAGGGGCTTCAACAACAGACACTGATTTTCTCACAGTTCTGGATGTTGGCCTCTGAGACCGAGGTGTCTGCGGGGCTGCCTCGTGTCCTCTGTCTGTGGCCTCATCACCCTTATTTATTTATTCATTTTTTTATCCTCAACCGAGGACATTTTTCCATTTTTTTGTACAGACAGAGTGGGAGGGAGAGAGAGGAAGAGAGAGAGAGGGAAACATCGATGTGAAAGGGACACATCGAGTGGCTGCCACCCACACAACCAACCAGGGCCGGGGACAAACTGCAACCGAGGTACATGCCCTTAGTGGGAACCGAACCCGGGTCTCTCCGGACCACAGGCGGACGCTCCAACCTCTGAGCCAAACCAGCCAGGGCTCATCGCCCTTATTTTTAAAAAATTTTTTTTTCTTTATTGATTTTAGAGAGAGAGGAGGGGAGAGAGAGAGAGAGAAACATTGATGAGAGAGACCATCGATTGGCCGCCTCCTGCATGCCCCCCACTGGGGATTTGGCCCACAACCTGGGCATGTGCCCTGACAAGGAATCAAACCAGCAATCTCTTGGTGCAGGGTCGACGCTCAACCACTGAGCAACACTGCCCGGGCTAGGCCCTAATCTCTTCATAAGGACGCCAGTCTTCTTAGATTAAAGATCCTACCTCCAAATACTGAAGTCCTGGAGGTTAGGACTTCAGTGTGAATTTTGGGGTCATGCAATGCAGCCATACCCAAAGGTGAGGGGCTGGCTGGAGCAGGTGGCTCTGAGTGTGACAGTCATTATCCAGACACTGGGTGACTCTGCGTGAACCGGGAGGATGGATATCAGCTTGCTGGGGCCCTAGTAGAAGTGGAGAGACTAGACAGGTGAACAGTTTTCAAGAGGGAAGAAGGAAAGGTTTGGTTAGAACAGAACTAATAACACTACAGTTAGCTGTGTCCTTTTCTTACGAGCTTTTGGCCAGTTTTCCCTATTTAAATTTCTCAGGATTGAAGAAAACTGTTTGAAGGCCTACCTGTAGATAGGACTCTCCAAAAGTGGCATGAACACTTAACCAAAAGATTGTTAGAACCAAGGAAAGGAAGACAACAGCAGATCTGCCGATCAGCCTGTGTGAGTTTTTAAAGTCTTTCCTTTAAGATGCATGAATTACAGCAGGCCTACCTGGGGGTCTACTCAAAAGTAAATTCATACCTCCAGCCCAGCTGCTTTCAAAGAACTAATGTCTACCTGGCCAGTGTGGCTCAGCGGTTGAGCATAGACTCAAAGAACTCATGTCCATATGCCTGAATGCAAAGAAACACTGTACATCGTACAACCTTTCATGCATTACCTGTGTTAAAAGATGAGGTAGAGCCCGGCCGGTGTGGCTCAGTGGTTGAGTGTCGACCCTGCACCAGGAGGTCACCAGTTTGATTCCCGGTCAGGGCACATGCCCAGATTGTAGGCCCCATCCCCAGTGGGGGGCATGCAGCAGGCGGCCAGTTGATGTTCTGTCTCATCGATGTTTCTCTCTCCCTCTCCCTTCCTCTCTCAATTCAATAAAAAAAAAAGAAGAAGGAGAAGGAGAAGGAGAAGAAGGAGGAGAAGGAGAAGGAGAAGGAGAAGGAGAAGGAGAAGGAGAAGGAGAAGGAGAAGGAGAAGGAGAAGGAGACGGAGACGGAGACGGAGACGGAGACGGAGACGGAGACGGAGACGGAGAAGGAGAAGAAGAAGAAGAAGAGTCCTGGGAAGGTAAAAATAAAAAACGAGAGCAAGGTTCTGGCCGGTCTGGCTCAGCATTAGAGCGTCGGCCTGCAGACCCGAGAGACCCGGGTTCGGTTCCCACTAAGGGCGCATACCTTGATTGCAGTTCATCCCCGGCTCTGGTTGGGGTCATGTGGGTGGCAACTGCTTGATGTGTCTCTCTCCAGTTGATGTTTCTCTCTCTCCTTCCTCCTCTCTCTCCCGCTCTATCTAAAGATAAATGCAAAAACGTCCTCAGGCGAGGACTTAAAAAAATAAAGCAACACACACAAAAAAATGAGGGCAAGGATAGCAATAATCAACAACAACAACAACAACAAAGCGAATTCCAGCCCACCTTGGCCTTGCTGGAGTGAGAGTTTTACCCCAGCCAGAGAGGTCCCCACTTCATTTAGCAGCAGGCTCCGCCCCCTTTGGGGAAAGGTGAGGGTACATGTAATGAATGAGCCATGTCACCACCGTATGTTGCCTCCGTGGGAAGAGAAAGCCTGCTTGTGCCTGCAGTAATCGCTTCTTTGTTTCAGCATGAGGTTGCCTAGCTGGACTGAAGCAAACCTCCAAAAATAAAAATAAAAACCCTGTTTGGCCTCCGTATCAGTTGGTGTAAAAGATTAGTCAGCATTAGCCAGTGACGTTGAGCAGACTTGGACTGGTCTTCCTTCTGTACTTCTTTCTACGCCGGCTTTGGGGGGTTACCTCTCGGGGGAGCCCCCGAGGCGCCGACAGCTCACATGATGCTGGGGACTGAAGGGCAGCTCTCCCAAAGGCACAGGTTGAAGCTCTAACCTCCGGGGTGGCCGTGTCTAAAGACGGGGCCTTTGGGAGGTAACACGGGTTAAAGGAGGTGACAGGGTGGAGCCCTGATCCAATAGGATTAGTGTCCTTACAGGAAGAGAGTCAGCAAGAACGCGCCTTCTGAACGCCGGGACTGGATCAGCAGGCAGCCTGGTCTCGGACACCCCGGACCCCACAGCTGTGAGAACAAAACCGTCTGCTGCTGACGCCACCCAGTCAGGGCGTGGCAGCCCAGACTGACTGACCCTAGTGACCGGTCTACACACCTGGCTGTCTCCTTTCATCCTCCAGGTCTTCCCCCGAATGACCTCTTCATTTCCTTCTTTTGGGAAGAAGTTACGCCCAACCGCCCTGGCTGGAATGTGCCCCTCTGTGTGGGGGGCACCTTGCGAAAGGCATTTACCCCGGTGGGGATCGATTCCGGTTATTCAGTTCCTGTTGATGCTCCTTTGCGTAGGAGGAAGGATTCCTATGCCTGCTGCAAAGCAGAAGCCTGGCACACGGTGGGCAGGACAGGTGAGCGCTCCGTTTTACTGCCGCTGTGCCCATTTTGTTCATCCTCACCCCAGGATCTTTTCCCGTTCATTTCTTTTAGAGAGAGTGGAAGGGAGGGAGGAAGGGAGGGAGGGAGGGAGAGAAAGAGAGACATTGATGTGAGGGAGACATACCGATGGGTTGCCTCCCACATGACCCGGACTGGGGCCGGGAATCATATCTGCAACCCAGGCACATGCCCTTGACCGGGAAGAGAAACCCTTGACTCTTTGGTCCAAGGGCGGATGTTCTAACCGCTGAGCCAAACCGGCCAGGGCCAACTGTGCCCATTTTGTTGAGCAGAAGGGTCTGAGGACCTTTTTAGTTTTCCAGTCACAGCGAAGTGAGGAGAATAGCAAATATTTCTAATGTAGGTCAGGCAGTTAACCTATTCATTCACTAAGTCAAGACCATCTTGGTTCTGTAGTTCATTCAACACGGGCTCGGCGCAGACAGAGAGCGGCTGCTCAGGGGGGTCCTGGCCTCCACGCGTCCGCAGGTAAGGAAGGGACACGCACAGTGATGCAGCTCACAGTTCCCGTGGGGGGGCCCGGGGCCTGCAGCCAGCACGCGGACTCCGGTGCGGGTTTGGCCGTTGCTAGTGCCTGGCCTGGGGCTAACGGTGCCCGCCTTACACAGTTCACGGGGCTGGGGTGGAAATGAGGATGCTCAAGACAAGATAACAGGGTTTTTAAAAATCTTTTTCTTTTCCAAATAGGTTAGTGTAATCCCAGGTGGTACAGAATTCCAAATAGAACAAAGACGGAAGAACACACTTGGGCAGGATGCTGGGCTGGGTTGACTCCGACCTCACGGCTAAGGCTGAAGAGGCTGAGTGAGGACTGAAGAGACAAGCCCCTGCGTGATCCTTATCATTTCTATCATCTTCTTGACAAAAGTCTGTTCTCAAATGGACAGCAGGCTCCAAGACCACACTTCCTTCTAGCTATAGATGGCAAGAGATGTTAGGGCAGGGAATCCAGATGTCAGAAAAAGGAATGGAATTAAGGTTCACCATTGCCCCAGGCACAAGGAACAGTTCATTTTTTGCCAGATTTCTTTCTTTCTTTTTTTTTTTTAATTTTATTTTTTGGTACGTGCCCCTAGCGGGAACCAAACCTGGAACTCTCTGGTCCGCAGGCCAACGCTCCAACCGCTGAGCCAAACCGGCCAGGGCCTGCCAGATTTCTTAATTCCACCTGTGGCTTCAGGGCTGCTTCTTGCCACCTTCGTGGCCGGAAACAGTGCCTGCCGCCCCTTCCCCAGACCCTGCCACCGGAAGCTCTCTTATAAGAAATTTGATCCAGCCCCGCCGGTGTGGCTCAGTGGTTGAGCGTCGACCCTGCACCAAGAGGTCGCCGGTTTGATTCCCGGTCAGGGCACATGCCCAGGTTCTGGGCCCGATCCCCAGTGGGGGGCATGCAGGAGGCAGCCGATTGATGTTCTCTCTCATCGATGTTTCTCTCTCTCTCTCTCTCTTCCCCTTTCTCTCTCTCTAAAATCAATAAAGCAAAAATATAGATTAAAAAAAAAAAGCGCAGAAATTTGATCCAGAGGGATTAAAAGTCTATGTCCATACGAGCTACGAGTGAGATCTTAACCCTGTTCCCTGGGTCCCAGGGAGCCGGTGCACCGGTCCCCTGGGTGAGCCATGGATCAGACACTGTCTTGCTTCGCGGTGCTCCTGGTGGCTGCGTCGGGTCAGCCTTGGGGAAGCGGACTCATCGTCTGTGTTCAGCCGTGCCCGGCTTCCCTCGCAAGGATCACACAGGCAGAGGTGCTGTCACTACCCCAAGGTGCCAGGAGGTGCCCCTTCACCCCTTCGGAGGGTGAGGAGTGGCACGCAGACCCCCTGCTCCAAGCTCCAAGCTCGCACAGTCCCTTCAGAAACTCCCCTGCCAGAGAGTTGATCAGGGTGTTTGCCCGGGAAAGATTCCCGTTGTAAGAGCGATGACGACGGGCAGAACGGGACACGCGGCTGGCTGCACCCTGCACCACAGTCACGGGCGTTATCGGGGGAGGGGAAGGGAGAGGCCGGCTCAGCCAGGGTTCGAGGCGGCTGCAGCGCTCATGGACAGCGCTCAGGCCCCTGGTTTCTCAAGAAATAAATAAAAAACATTGTTTTTGTTTTTTTTTTTATCCTCACCAGAGGATATTTTTCTATTTTTTGTTCAGGTAGAGTGGGAGGGGGAGAGAGGAAGAGAGAGAGAAACATCGACGTGAAAGGGACACATCGAGTGGCTGCCACCCACACGACCAACCAGGGCCGGGAACAAACTGCAACCGAGGTACGTGCCCTTAGCGGGAACCAAACCCGGGTCTCTCAGGACCACAGGCCGACGCTCCAACCGCTGAGCCAAACCGGCCCGGGCTTTTTTTTTTTTCTTTATTAATTTTTGAGAGAGAGGGAGAGAAAGATAGAAACATCGATGAGAGAGAACATGCCGCTCACTAGGGATTGGGCCCACAACCTGGGCACATGCCCTGACCGGGAATTGAACTGAAGACCTCTTGGTGCAGGGTCGACGCTGAACCACTGAGCCACACCAGCCAGGCAAAACATTCTTTTTTTATTTGGAGAGAGAGAGAGAAAAGCACACCCCCTACTGGGAATCTAGCCCTCAACCCGGGCATGTGCCCTTACAAGGAATCAAACCAGTGACCTTCCAGGGTATGGGATGCCAACTGAGCCACCCCAACCAGGGCTCAGAGGACATTCGTGAGACTTGCAAGATGAGAACTGTAGAGCATTGGGTCCTGAGCACCAGCCTGCAAAGGGGCCTGTCGCTGCCTGACTGCCTGACTGCGTGTCCCCAGGGCTAGTCTCCTGGAGGGCCCACGCCTCCAGCTTCCCCCGCAGGCTGCCAGGCCAGGTGTCCTCTCCACGGCGCAGATCACGAGTCGAGGCCCAGGGAGCAGGCAGCTGCCCGAGCAGGCGGAGTGGGTTCCCCGACCCGGAGCCCGCACGCCTAACGCCGTCCACGCCGCCACTCCTGCAAGACGGGCTCCAGAGGGTGTGAGTGCACGGCAGCCGGCCAGACAGGGCCCTTCGCGTCCGGCTGACCGCCAGGCCCTGTCCTCACTGTGGTGCCCTTATTTCCCAGAAGTTCTGTTAACCCGCTCCCAAAGCAGCAGCAGAAGAGGCGTCAGCCACTGGCCCGCCTGGGGTGAGCAAACTGGTCAGGCTGGTTGGAGGCCCGCCTCGGGTGGCCTTCCTTCCATGATTAGCTCAAGCAGGGTCTCGGGACCTGGCAGGACGAAGGTCCCGGTGGCAGCCAGGCCCTGGGACCTAGAGCCTCACAGCCCACACTTCCTGTTTTGCTTCCAGTCGAGTCCACTGAAAGAGTTGGGGTCTTTGAACACAGTCCCCGAAGGATGACTGACCCCCTTGGAAAGTTGCCTCAGCCATTTAGACATAGGCGGTGGTGTGGTAGTAGCTGCTTAGCCCGGGGCTCTCTGGGGTACTTTTTTTTTTTTTCTTTATTGGTTTTAGAGAGAGAAGAAGGGAGAGGGAGAGAGATAGAAACATCGATGAGAAAGAACATCGACTGGCCGCCTCCTGCATGCCCCCCGCTGGGGATCAGGCCCACAACCTGGGCATGTGCCCTGACCGGGAATTGAACCGGTGACCTCTTGGTGCATGGGTTGACACTCAACCACTGAGCCACACCGGCCAGGCTTTGGGGTACATTTTTCTAAAGGTCCTCATTTTATCGTGTCTGCCAAGTCCCGAGCGGTGAATGCTACACCGTAACTGATGTCAGGCTACCGCGGTGATACCCACCTGCTGGCAAAGTCGTCGATATTCTCACAACCTGCCCTTGGCTGAGGGAAGCAGGCACCCCCAGGTCCAGCACACCCGCAGACACAGCCTTTCTTTTTTTCTTTAGTTATTGATTTTAGAGAGAGAGGAAAAGGGAGGGAGACGGAGAGAGAAACATCGCTTGGTTGTTCCGCTCATTGATGCACTCATTGGTTAATTAGTTTTTTGTTGTTAATCCCTACCGAGGATGTTTCTCCATTGATTTTTGTGTTTTTTTTTTAGATAGAGTGAATGGGAGGCAGGGAAAGGGAGAGAGAAAGAGGAGAGACATTGATGCGAGAGAGACATACCGATCGGTTGGCTCCCGCATGACCCCGCCCAGGGATGGGAGTTGAACCCGCAACCCTTTGGTCCCCAGGCTGATGCTCTAGCTGCTGAGCCAGACCAGCCAGGGCCATTGGTTGATTCTTGGCTGTGCCCTGACCGGGGCAAAACCACAACCTTGGCCGTCAGGAGGATGCTCTGACCGATGAGCTGCCCGGCCAGGCCAGGCTGTCTCTCAAGCTCCTCACTGTCACAGTGACTGGGCCAAGGAAGAGGAGCCACAGCCCTGTACCATCTGCCTCACGGCGGAGCAGAGAGAGGTCCCAGTACTGAATATTTTGCTGAGGGTCCTCAGCAAAGACCCAGACTGTAGACGACAGTGTCGAAGGGTCTGGCTGTGGTCACATTGGATGAGTCTGGCTTGGAGGTGGCTGAGGTCTCTACCCCGAGGACGAGAGGCAGGAGTGGCTGGAAAAGCCCTGAGAAAGTCCCAGAGCAGGGACAGTGCCTGGCATGTCAAGCGTGCTCTGGGCAGAAAACTGGGGTGGGGGTGGGGGACGGTAAAAAGAACCAAGTGACTTCAGGATTTAATTTGCTGGCAGAAGAAGTGTGATAATGAAATAACTTATCTGTCCCTCCTTTGCACTAAAATCCCGTTTGACTATTAACTGACTTTCTCTCTAATTTGCCTCCCGTCGCCCCTCCCCCAGCCTCATTACCACAGCCATCATCCCTACTACTATTTAGTTAATTTTTAATTTTTTAACTCCTCACTTGAGGGTATTTTTCTGTTTATCTTCAGACAGAATGGGATGGAGAGAAAGAGAGAGAGAGAAACATCAATATGAGAGGGACACTTCAACTGGTTGCCTCCTGCACGACCCCGACCAGGGCCGGGGACAAATCACAACCGAGGTACGTGCTCTTGGCTGGACTCGAACCTGCGACTCATTGGTCCACGGGCCGACGCTCTACCGCTGAGCCAAACCGGCCAGGGCCCTACTACTATTTCTTATGAAAATCCTCAGGGTGAGCACTTGGGTGTAATCAGAGTTGGCCTCATGACTCTTGGAATGAGTCCCCATTAGGGCAGTGTCACGATGACGTATCTCTTTGGAGTCTGGGAGTGGGCGGAAGGGAGCCATGGGACGGAACGTGTCTTCGGAGCGATTGTTCCTGGGAAACCACCTCCTGGGGTTGGCGCCGAGCCTTTCTCTAAACTGGCTTAGCGTGGCCCTGGCATGAGCAGTGGTCAGAGCGCCGGCCCGCGGACCAATGAGTCGCAGGTTCAATTCCGGCCAAGGCCTGCGGTCCAGACAGACCCGGGTTCGGTTCCCGCTAAGGGCATGTACCTCGGTTGCAGTTTGTCCCCGGCCCTGGTTGGGTTGTGAGGGTGGCAGCCACTCGATGTGTCCCTTTCACGTTGATGTTTGTCTCTCTCTCTCTCTCTCCCTCCCACTCTATCTGAACAAAATATTAAAAACAAAAAAACAAAAAAAAACCCCAAAAAACAAAACAATTCCGGCCAAGGGCAGGTACCTCGGTTGCAGTTCAGGCCCTGGTCGGGGTTGTGCGGGAGGCAACCAGTCGATGTGTCCCTCTCACGTCAATGTTTCTCTCTCTGTCTCTTCCTCTCTCTCTCCCTCCCACTCTATCTGAACAAGGAATAAAAAAAATGTCCTCGGGTGAGGATAAAAATAAATAAATGAAAGATTTCCAAACATGTGTAATGAAATAGTGAACGATGCAGAATGAGGTTCATGAGGGAGTTGGTGGATTTCCTTTCTATTCCTGTTTTGAATACTTTCATACCTGTACTCCAGGAAAAACTTTACATGTAGAGAAATTTACAACGCATAGGAGAGGACTCAGACTGGGAGATAACCCGCGTGTAACTCTCTGTGCAGTAAGCACAGGGATGGCAGTTTTAGGCAGAATACAGGACAGAGGCAAATACATAT